AGGGACAAACTATTGAGCAGGGCCCAGTATGATTTCTTTTGACTGCTTTTTGTTGTTGTTCTTGACTGCCAGTCACATTTTCCTTTTTCTTTAAATGTCTAATCATTTTTTTATTTAATGTAGACATTATTGAGACTCTGTAATGTGATTTTCACTTACCTTCCTCTGAAAAATGTTCATTGTTGTTTTAGCAGAGTTCAGTTGCTGGCAAATCAACCTGGGCTTCTGGAGGTTTGGTTTTATGCTTTGTTAGTGCATTTTGTGGAAAGCCTAAAAGGTGTTTCCCAAACTTCTCTAACATAACTGTCCCTTGATATTTTGCTTAGCAATAATCTTATTTGCTAAAATATCTATTGAACTTGGTCCTTTGTGTGATTTAATTTTTATAACTCAGTTAAATTAATATGTCTATACTTTTTCCTTTTTTAAAATTTATCTTTATTGTTGAAAGTATTACAGATGTCCCCCCTTTTTTCCCAATTGACCCCCTCCACCCTGTGTTCCCCCACATCCTACCTCCACCTTCACCACACTATTGTCTGTGTCCATGGATTATACATATATGCATATAAGTTATTTGGTTAATCTCCACCTCCCCCCTAGTTTGTACTCTTAAAGAGTAAGATGTCTATGAAATACTTGAAAACATTTTAATATAAATATAATTTCTTCTAAAATTGACTGTTCATTGTGAGGAACAGTTTTAGATCATTAAAGTAGATCTAAAATTCACATAACAGACTAAGAATTTATAATATTTTATAGTGAAAACTAGACTAAAATGCATTTTGATAATTTACCTAACAGGCTTGCTACATTTTTAGTTTGGGAAATTTACATGTTTTTATTTCTTCTATCTTCTTAAATCAGTTACTGATGTTCGTATAGTTAAATGCAATTCATCATAGTGGCACTTTGTATATTTCTAGGAATTTGACAGGATGGATTTGCATATGTGTAGAAATATTTTTATTTGGAAGAATTAAAATGATGTGATTGCTTAAATTTAATAGCTTTGAGGAAGTAAATGAAACCGTTTTAGTTTCTACTGCATTGGTCACAGGCTAAAGGCATGCTTTCTGAATCTGGCTCACTGTAGCTAAACGTTTGCACCAGAAATAGGACAATCACATGTCCTTCTTGCCGTAAGCTCTTTTGAGAATGACATTTTGAATATTGTGATTTTACCTTAGTTTTAACAATCTGTTTTTATACCAGCTGCTATATTTTCTCCTTCATTCTCACATCAAAAGGAGATAAATGGATTTGAGGTGCATCAGTAGAACCACTGGATACAGCCAAGTTGATTGAGATTTGAGGTCTGATAATGTCCTAATTGGTACAAGGAGATGGTACAAGGAGATTTTAAATGCCCACAGTAGTCTTGAATTTATGTACTGAATGTTACTTGGATTTTAATTTTCTTGTTTTTCTTTCAAACTTTACTCTGTATATTGTTTGTATATTTTGGGAATTTTGCCTCAGACATTTGTGCTACTTTAAAAGAAGAATATGTTTTATATTAGCATGCTGTCACTGTATATTGATTTTACAAGATGAATTTCTAATTATGTTATGTATTAATAGTCACATTTTATTATTCCCTTTAGTAGCTAAGAACTTTGAAAGCATTTTTGAAGCATCCAGAATAAAGAGTCCTACGTGCTGCCACTTCAAGGACATAATGACATTCTTGAATGCCATTATTATGAGCTTTGCCTCATATATATGCTATTCTTCAGGCATTAGAAGATACCTTTTTTTTTTTTTTTTTGAGAATTTAGATTTTAATGTTTCAGGTCTTTGGCTGTAACTCTAAAAGCGGCTGTAACTCTAAAAGCATTATCAGGGATTTGAGGCATCCCCTAGATGAAATATAGAAATCATGTACCTAGTCCAGTTCCTTCACTTCAGAGATCTGGAAACCAAGGCTCAGAGAATTTTACAGGTGCCCTGGCTCAGTGCTTCTCAAACTATCTGTGGTAGAGAACCAGTTTTTTTCTACCAATGCATGACAGGCCAAATATTTTATTAACTATAATAAAAATGAAGTATTGCAAAAAGTAGTTTTAAAATGACATATATAGTTCTAAATGCTTCCTCTTAATTTCTGTGCTTATCTCAATGTGGACGGTTTACAAAGAGTTCTGGGATTAGAACAGTCTATAGACTTCACTTTGTATATCACTGCCCAAGGTTGGGGTTGGCAAGCTATGATCCATGGACCAAATCCAACTTGTTTTTTGAATGTCCTGCAAGCCAAGAATTACTTTTACATTTTTAAATGATTTTTAAAAATTCACAATAATGTTTTGTGACACATGAAAATTATACAAAATTCATATTTCATTGTGTTTAAATAAAATTTTATTGGAACACAGCCACACATTCTTTTAAGTATTGTCTGTGGCTGCTTTTTCCCCAGTAATGTTGGGGTCGAGGCAGGGATGAGTAGTTGAGAATGAGACCCTATGATCTACAAAGCCTAATGTATTTACTGTCTGGCCCTTTTCAGAAAAAGTAAAGATCTGAAGATTTGACTTTAGGACAAAATTAGGTTAGTGTTAGAGCTGAGAGTACAAACAGGGTCTACGTTTTTTTAAAATGTATTTTAAATAGTAGTATTGGCTGATACATATTGTGCCACTTTTGTTTTCGTTTAATCCTCTCAGTAATCCCTTTTCCAAAAAAGTTAGATAAATTTAGATCCCCTTGATCAAGTTTTAGATATCTTTCTTGCTCCTAAAACACTTAACTCTATTGTGTGTTTTGTTTTGTTTTTTAACTCATATCTAGTGAATTAAAAATGGCTAAATATTTTCTAAGGTGGATTTTGTTATCAGCATCTGGTTCAGAAAATTCAGTTTCTTCTTTCCTATTGTCACATTACTCTGCAGTGGATGTTTCTGTGTGTTCAGGTCCAGTGAAGAGTTAGGTATGACTCAGAAGTGTTTAGAAAACAGATTATTCCTAGTAAAAAGACTGTTCCTTTATATGTCACCTAAAGTAAAGTAAAATTGCAACTAAATTTTAATGGCAAATTTCTTTTGCAAAATAACAAAGATATAATAAGTGAAGTACTGGTTACAACAAAAAAAATTGAGGTTTTAAGAGACTTTTGAAGGAACAACAGGCTTTCAGTGTTTTGCCCCTACCACTCATTAAGCTGCAAAAGAAAAGCTCCTATCATATGCTTTATTTCTTGATGTATGCAGTAAAAAACTGTGCTTTTCATGGTAGCTGTTAATTCTTTGTTTTCCTACCTTTGTATGTGATCACTCAGCAATATATTGCTATAAAGATATGGCTATAGCTGTCAGCTTTACATTTGATACATGAGTCGGCTTCATGATTAAGGATATTTTGAAAGCCAAATCTTCACATTGGGATTTCTTCCTGGAATTAAAAATATATATATATATATATATATATATATATATATATATTGCTGTGAAAGCTTATTCATTATGATGAAAGTAACTACAGTTTGATGTTGTGGTACTTGCTATTTTATTCTACTTACTCTTGAGTCAATTTATAAACATCAGTAAAAGAATTATCTTCTTGCTTAATTAAGAATAAAATAATATAGGAAGTTTTGGGAAAATCTCATTGTATCTTTTCAAGCCATGGCTAGTCCTTATTATCCCCAAATCTGAGAGTGCCAATATTTAATTCAGGAGATGCTGGTAACCATTGCCCCAGCAGCTGTGTCCTAATTCTAGATAGGGCTATTCCTTTGTATGTTATAACAAAGCCATTGCCTAGATGGCTTGCTTATGTATTAAAGAAAGAGGAAGAGCTTCATAAACAGCAGGACTTTATTACTTAGCAATAGATGAGGATATCTTTCCAGATATTCCAAAAGAATATGTATACTTTAGCACAGAACTGTTAATGAATGAAAATTTGGGACTCATGAGCAGTAGTGGCTCAGGTGTTTTTAGACATTATATAACACATCTTTAAATACTTATTTGAAGGAATTTTTGTTTTGTTTTAAATATATGATATAGTATAATGGTAACAATTCCTTTTCTCTCCATGAGTACATAAAATCTTAACTATTTGAACTATTAGAATAGCTTGTGATTGACCTGTGCTTATTTGGACACGTTTTTAATATATTTATTAGTTTAACCATTGGTTGGGTAGTGTTATAGCAGCCTTCTCCCCACCCCCATATGCCAGATGTAGTTGAGAAATGTTTTGAATTAATAAATTATTATATCTGTATTTTACTTAAACATGGGTTGTCTTTTGGGAGCCCCCATATCTAAGAATTCTCTATAACTACTTTCTACCCAATATAGCATGTTCAACATTGATTTCTTCGTATATATTATAATGATTGAGTTTCTGTTTCTAAATATTTTTGATGGAAAGAATTATTGTAGAAGGCCGTTCTTTTTTTGTAGCTCGACTGCAGGGGACCAGAGTTCCATGCATGACTATGTGAAACTTCTTGGAAGCAAGCCAGTATGTTATGGTGAGAGATTCATATGTAAGCGGTGAGCCACTAAAAGGCTTGCACAGTATTACAACTCTTCTGAGGAGAGGAAGTGTTAGGAAATTCAGCAGTAAAGCAGCAGCAGCAGCAGCAGCAACAAGCAGCCACAGTGGTAGTAAAGATAGGGCAGGTTCACAGTTAGCGTACTGCACAGTGTGAGGCAGTGAGCACGCAGCTTCCCATCCTGCTGCCTGAAGGAGGCAAACCCAAACTGTCTGTTGCAAGATTTTTCTGGTTTCATGTTTATGATGTTAAGTCATGTGATAGTACTGTACCATAAGTTGCCAACTTTGCTTTACTCTAGAGAGGATCCTTTGCTGCAGTGCTTTTTTCCCGTTCTTTCTTTTTCTTTCTTCTTTTGTTTTTTTTCTTGAAAGAGAAAAAATTTGTGCAATGTATGTGTATGCCTACACCATGCCGAGACGACACTTACCAGTAAATAATCTTTGTATCCCTGAGGTAAGATACTGTTTCTGCTTTCCCTGCACAGTGCTGCTGCAGCACGGAGCTGATCCAAACATTCGGAACACTGATGGGAAATCAGCCCTGGACCTGGCCGATCCTTCAGCAAAAGCTGTTCTGACAGGTAAGAAAACCGAGAGCTACCAAATTCGTTTATTTATGGGACTACTGGCTTGATTTTAGAAAATCTTTATGCACTGAATTTTATTTGTTTCTACTGATTAAGCTGAACAGATATATATGCCATTATCTCTACTTCATTATTGATTTGGTACATTAAAACAGTCTCATTAATTGCTATGCTTGCTCTTATAAGCATTAAGCAATATGATTGTTTATTCTAGTTAGATTCTGAGAATTATAGCATTAAATAGTAGTAACATATTATTCACTCATGTTTTAGTCATTTTTTTGTGGTTCAGTTCATAATTCTCTTATACCTAGTTGATTCTTATGAAGACCTTCACTATGGAGCAAGCAAGGGCATTTGTATTACTTTATAAAAGTACTTTTGATGGGAAAGACAACCTGCTGCCGTATTACTTAGATCAATAGTTAAATAAAATATGATGCTGCTCTTTCCTTGCCACCCTGATTATATTGTCATCATATCTATCTTCTCATTGTACCATGTTATCTACGTACTTTTTAACTCAGCAGTGTATTACCTTTTTCTTCAGATAATGGAAAATTTTAGCTTAAGTATTGGTTTTATTAAGACAAATGTTAAGAACCAGCCAGAGGAAATGATCTCTCATAATAGTATAGAAAATAATGCTCTAAGTAATATGGTATTGAACAACTGTTTTCATTGATCTTTATTTTCAAAATGCTGCATTGGATCTATTTTTGTTTTTATTCTTAGCATCTGAGTTTTGCTGCCTTTGCCTTCTTTTACTTAACTGACCTTTGTAATTTGGAGCCTCTTTGTCACTGCAGTGCTAAGAGTATTGTTTTAAGTGCTTGTGTGCAAGTAAATGACTTTTAACTTCCTTTAAATTTTCCCATGTTTGAAGAAAATAAATCTTTTGTTCACTTTTAAGTTTAGTGTCAATGCTGTGCATTTTTAACAAAGATTCTGAGGTGAATGGAAAACATTTATATACAGTTATATGCAGAATTCTGGTTAATTACTCTGTATAGTGAGACAACTTCCCACTGTGTTGAAATTAATATAATCTCTGCTAAATTAGAGTAATATGATTTTTCTTAATTAAAGGGTTAGGTGATTGGGATGCTGAATCAAGATAACATACACTAGAGGAATAAAGCTATTTTAAACCAGTGTAGATAAGAAATTTAAATATAATTATAAAATTTTGAATAATGAAATTAGAATCTATAGCCTTAGGCCTGCTTAGGCTCTGCAGCCTTTCAGTGTCTTCTTTAACAAAGCTCTGGGCAGCAGTCGCAGCCTGGGATTGGTCTCTGACGAAAGGAGAAATGTGGTTTATAGTAATAGAGGTGGCTTAGAAATGCTGACCAGCACTGTCTCTGTATCTAAGTGTCCTCCCTCTGACCTTTCCTTCTCTTCAACCCTCAGTTCCTGCCTTGTCCATTTGTTAGATTCGTTTAATGCAGCACTGCTTTTAGATCCCCGTACATTTTTCTAAAAGGCAAAGTTTTAAATATAAGTTAATTAACAAGAAGAAGCTACCTCATAATTTGGAATGGATTTTAGGGGAGATCATATTGGCTGATAGTTTAAGAAAGAGCTGTGACATAGTAACTCATGGAGACCAAAGGTTCCTGGAGAACAGATACCATATCTATGTATTAAACGTGATTGGAAAAGCATCTAGCACTGCACCTTGCTTAGATAAGGAAGATATTATTTCTTCTTGGTCATGATACTGTTCATTAATTATTATTTTCAAGAATATTTACCTGTTTTGGAAATGACATACTACTATTCAGTTATGATTTAAAAGAAAAACATTCCAGGACATTCTAGTAATAGTAATTGACTGTGGAAACTATAAGCCACTGATATTTACACATTCATGTTATATAATGCAGTGAAATATATTTGCAAATGTTTATCTGTCCATGCAGATTCTCTTCTAAGCAATTCTTTGAAATTATAGTGGAAGTATTATTTCTGAAGCTAAAGTTAAAAGACTAAGCATCAATAAAAAGGGAATCTTTTGAAAGGAGTAACTTAGAGTTATTAGAGATATTCTGGGTGATGTGTCATTATTTTTATGGCAGATGCTGTTGTAGTACCATTACTTACCTTGTGAGTGAAGTTTCTGTTGTTAATTTTTTTTTCTTTTTGGGAATGTATATGCTAAAGATGACTTTACAGTATTTTTTATGTATTTCTACTGTGCATAAACAAAAACTATGTAAAGGTATATATGTATATTCCTTAAAGGAAATTAGCAAAGTGAAAATCTCTTTTTTTGAGAATATTTTACAATATGTAAATGAGTAATACCCTCTTTTGAATAAAGAATGCATGGATTTTTACAAAGCTGTAATAAACAATCCTTAGGGTTTTTGTTTGGTTTATTATTATTATTATTTTTTATCTTCATCTGGATGTTTTTGCATTTATCTTCAGATAGAGTGGGAGGGAGAGAGGAAGGAAGAGAGAGAGAACATCGATGTGAGAGAGACACATTGAGTGGTTGCCACCCACACGACCCCAACCGGGGTGGGGACAAACTGCAGCTGAGGTACGTGCCCTTAGCGGGAACCAAACCTGGGACTCTCTGGTCCACAGGCCAACGCTCTAACCGCTGATCCAAACCAGCCAGGACACAACCCTTAGTTTTATAATTAAGGAACCCCAGCATATAGCCATTTGCTTTGGTAGTCCATCTAGGTATTTTGAAGAGAATAATTAATTGGAGAGATTCTTCAAACTCTTTACTGACTTTTTACGTTAAGTAAATGGTATGCTTACAAGACATTTCTAGGTTGTTGTTTTGTTTTTGTTTTTGTTTTTGTTTGTCTTTGTTTTTTGCTAATGACCGAAGCGCTAGTGAAGGACTAGGAGATGGTTTTGTTTGTTTGTTTTTTAGGAAGAGTATGAAAAAGTCTAAGATAGCCTATATAAATTTTATTGAAGAGTAGTGGTGTGTTACAATTATGGGTTTTAAAATCTTAGTATTTTGGCCTCTTTTCCCTAGTTGTAAAACGTTACCTTCATTGTGGAAATTAAGAAAAATAGAACTATAATGACTTTATAATATCCTTCTATGGCTATATTTTAGGTTATTTTTAGATAATCCCCTAGTGTTTGCCATTTAGGTAGGTTATTTTCTTCCTTGTGAATTTGTCATTTTATTAGTTTATTGGGAATTGTACTTCTTTCCATAGTCAGTCTTTCCATATTCAACATCCACAAACATGTTATATCTCTCCATTCCTGGCTGGTATCTGTAGGATTTGGAGAACAAGTAACTTCCCTTTTAGGGGCTACAGTGCTGTGGTCGTGTTTTGGGAGAGCCACGCCAAAGTTAAAGGTGGTTGACAAAAAGAATGCTTATTGAAGAGGGTAGGGATGTAGAAGTGTTTGTTAATCATCTGAGGGGGGTTGTTTCCATGGGGTACAATGGGAAGTTGGGTCAGGAGAAGAGGTGACAGTAGACTGAGTCTGAGTTTGTGAAAGGACAGATGACCAAAGCACAACCAAAGATTACAAGGATGTAAAGTGGGTGAGTTTAGATGGTCACAGGTTGCCACAATAATTGGTCCCAGCAGTTTCCTAGTAGATTTGGGGATACAGGAGAAGGGAAGAAAGGTATGTTTGCATCAAGGTGTCTCAAAAATAACCTCAATCTGAATTCATTGCACCTCTGAGGAAATCTTAATCTATGATTGATGGGCTGGGTCTCAGTCTTTCCAGAAAGAATCAGCTGTGGTTCAGGTTAGAGGCTGTGTTGAAGGGTCTGGAGTGTGCTTGCTGAGACTGGCGTGTTAAATCAACAAAATATATCTGGAATACTACCTCTTTTTTCACCTCCAGTGGTTCCTACTGCTTTTCACGTAAAGCCAAAGCCTTCAGCGTGATCAGTGGGGACTTAAATTATCTGGACTCTGCCGATATAGGTTTGATTACTAGGTTTTGTTTAAGCCAAAGTCTAGATTTTCTTTTTATTTCTTACACGTTACATCTAACCTGCCAGTAATTTTGGTGTACCATACTTTCAAATCCCCAATTCTACCATTTCTTACACACCTTCAGCCCTATACACACCTTCATCATCTTTCTTTCTTGACAGCAATGGCCTCATAATTGGTCTTTGTGCCTCCACTTGTACTTTACTCAGATCTCACTGTAGCCAGAGTGGTCTTTCTTAAGCATAATCTGCCCTATAAGAAAAAGAAAACTCTATTCTCATTACTCATGAATAAAATTTGAACATTTACTCATAGTCTACCATGATGTGGCCCCTGCCTTACATACCTTGTCTTCTGCTGTATTTCTCCTTGATCTCTTTGCTTCAGCTACAGCTGCATGCTTGCTGTTCCTCAGATAGATGAAGCCCTTTTCTGTGTGTTTACATGCTGTTTACTGAAACTGGAACACTGCCCCAGAACTTAATATGATTCATCTGTTAAATCTCCACTCAAAGATTTACTCCTCAGAGAAGTCTTTTTGTCCTCAATCCCGTTAGCTTACTTAATTTTTTTCATGGATTTATTGATATCTGAAATTGCATCATTCTTTTTTATTGTTGTTTGTTTACCGCAATAGATTGAAGGCTTCACAAGGATTTGTACTTTTATCTCTCTTGCTTACTTCATTGTGCCCAGGACTTATACAAGTGCATAACATGGTTAAATGAACAAATACATCTAGGGTCTGATTACTGGTAACAAGACAGCATATTTTCCAGGTCTTACGAATACTCATTAGCCAGTAATTTTTTTACATCTCTTGTCATATTGTAATAGCCTATTAAATTTTCTACTTCCTAAAAATTGTTTTGAATTGCTGATAGTTATGTACACCTCTTAATACAGTACGTTAAACATATTTTTTAATTGGTATGATGGGTGAGGTATGTACTGAACCTTTTTTCAATAGAGTTCTTGGATAGCTTCGTTTCAGTTCTGAAAGGATCAGACTTCCTGCAGCTGTCACATCAGACTTCCGGATGTCAAACCAGG